GCAGCCTGGATATTGGGGGGGGGGGGGTTCTCGCCTCTGATTGTTGTCCCACAGTCAGAGCACACTGTGTAGGAGAGAGATTAGCTGCATCAGCTCATCCATGTGATGCAGCTAAGCAGAGGGGGTGAGGGGGTAGAAAAAAAGAGGGATTGAGTTACACAGACTGTACAATATGTGTCACCGCTGCTGGTCTCTGCACTCAACACGGCAGAAATGGCTTTTTTTTAATGGACACATGGCATAGATTTACCATTCCAAGATGTTACTTGCTGTGGGAGAAATATATTTGTGTCTGGGCCGTAACTAGTTTCATTTATAGGCAGACACAGTTGTTGTGGCTTAGAGAAGCACTGTTTCTTAACTTGTAGATGCTCCATCCAGCTGTTATGCAGTGAAGAGGTTTGAAGGTGTAACTGTGTGTGTGTGTTGTTACATAAACACCCTCTTAAACTGCTGTCAGTCATTTGGTGTAGTTACTGTGATGTCATTATTGCTTGTGAACTAAAAAAGAAAAAAAAATCTGATTTGAACATGTCTGATCACTTGTTCGCAACACCACATGGATCCAAATGTAAAGATTCTTTACAATAGAGATGAATGGTATTTTAGTGGTGCTCACAGTGTTGAAAGATTACTTCAAAAAAAAAAAAAAATCTCAACAGCAACATGTTTTTTCAAATTATTTCCAGGACATTGTTCTGGAAAGACAGAAGAAATAATAATACATTCATCTTCATTGTATTGGGCTGGCAGCAGAAATCTCAGTGGCAGAGAGATCAAAACGGGAGCAAATATCACCAGAGCTATGTAGGCTAGAAGTAGGTGAGATTTTTTTTAAATATTTTCACACAAATGGACAAAATGAGAGCTATAGTTTGTAAAAAAAACAAAAAAAAAACAAACTACACTTTGATCTGAAGCCCAGCCCATATTACAGGTTAGCAGAAGTCCCCCTGGTGAAAAGAGCAGTATGTGTGTGATTGGGAGTGTATAGGTCAGGCCAGTATCCTGGTGCACAAACTCCAACCATTTCCTGCAAACATGACAACCCTTGGGGAAAAGAGGAAGAAAAAAAAAAAACACTATGTTGTGTTCAACAACATAATGTCTGCTCACACTGTCTTACCTGCTGTGCTCAACTGCAAGTTAGGCAATTCTTCTGAGTCAGACTAGTAGGTATGAACAAGTGGAAAGTTACATCCGAAAACAAGGCACCACCTCCAAAGCAGACCCTTAGCTCAAGGACACTAGAGCGCAGCAGATACTTCATAAGATCAACACAGGAGCCTGATTCTGACCCCTCTGGTTGTTCTTATTCACTTCACTGCTATCTTCATGTTAAAGTTTCTGTTGAGGCCTGTTGTAGACGCGTTCCTGTGCCCTTCTCCTGGGTAATGGTGGTTGTGGATGTATGTCAGTTGGCTTTCCCGTGACGATGATGAGATGTGAAGAGGATAGCGCCGGGCTAATTGGGCGCGGTCTGCTCTGGTCAGCCTGACTGCACATAGCGCTGCGGACAGCCTGTGGTCAGCTGGACCCTCTCAGCCTCTCACTGACCACACAAACGTGATCACAAACAAAAACACTTCAGCTCGGGCTGTGGGCGCTCTGTGCTTTCCTTATTCCTCGGTGGGCTGTGTAATATCTGTCAGTTCTGGGCCAGTTTCATGGACAAGGATTTAACGAAGCTGTGGACAGAAATGTATTGGTTTCAATTGGTTGGAAAGACTTAGGGAACGTCTTAAGAAAGAATAATCTATGAGTGTGTCCATGAAGTCAGCCCATTCATTTTTATAATTAGCAAAAGAAGTGGGTGCAGTAGAGGAGAAGAAAGATGAAAGAGGAACCAGGAGATACACAAACTAGAAGCTCTGCGGAGACAGTTCAGGGAAGAAAAGACAAGAGAGAAATTGATGAAGAAACCAGTCAAGCCAGTTGAGATTTGATATCCTGCTGACCTGTCAGCTTTAACAGCCCACCAGAGCCGGTCAGGAACCAGGAATGGCTTAAAAGCTGGATTTTCTGTCCCTATGACATACTGCAGTTGTCTGTCAGCCAGTGGGATTATGGCGCCGATTTTCATACGGTTCTGGTGGCTGTGATTTTTGGTTTGTGAGTCATCAGCCAGTCACTTTGATTGGCCACAGACTATGTTACTTGAGGCTGCAATTAATTAGCAGAAGTGTTGGGTGAGGGAACAAGGTCTGTGTGAGAAAATGTAAAACTTGGTTGTGGTAGTTGTTATGCAGTACGGGTCTGAGGGGAAAAGATGTGTCTGAAAAGAACATTAGTGTGTTAAGTAAAATTTCTTTCTTACTTCCTTCTTTCTTTCCTTTCTTCCTTCCTTCCTTCCTTCCTAGCGTCTGATTCGATCTTTACCACATGTGACACAGAAGCATTTTTGGATGGCTGCATGGGGATTTTAATACCAAACTGTTTGGCCCTGACATGCAAATGAATCTGGCAGCGATGGCACCACTTCGGCAGCATTTCAAAGACACCGACTGCTCGGTGTTATGGTTGCGAACAGAGTGTTGATGCTATGATATGGTGATGAAGATGAAACGGTGAATGTTTCCCTTTAGGAACCTGATTCTCTTCAGTCCTGCATGGCTTCTTCCTGTCAGCGGCTCTTTGCTGTTCCTGCTGCTCGTTGCTCCACCTGTCTTTACGTCTCTCTCTGTCTCTCTCTCTCTCTCTCTCTCCACTGCTAGAGAGGCACTTTTCCACTCATTCAGAACAGGAGGTTCACCCCCTCAGCTTCCATTATACTGTAAATTGGACACTCATCTTCTCAAAAAGTACCTTGATGAATCAGACCCTCTTTCCTCTAATCACACTAATTGCTGTAAAAAAAAAAAAAAAAAAAATCTCCCAACACCGTAATCATTCTGACATCAGTAGAGTATTGTACCTTCAGCCCCTGGCCCTTGCACTCCTTATAATTGGTTGCTTGTAATGATGAATGTAGTGATCAACAGATTTGAACCTAATTTATTACTTTCTACACTGTAAGTCATTCCTCTTACTATGTTTGTCATAAAATATTAAACTGGAAGTGGAATTTTACTGATTTTTAACCTGCTTCCCTCCATTTGTGTCCGCCTGAAGCTCTACAAATACAGATAGCATTTCACACCACCCTCTGACCTTCCCACTTCAATATTATCTCTCCGTGTTCTTTCTGATCATCCATCATCCTATTCCTCCACTTGCTACCTTCGCTTTTTCACCCTTAACATCTCTCCGCCCATCCCTTTCTTCTTCATCCTACCTGTCTTTGCATCTCTTGAATCTCTTTGCGCCCACACAGTGTTTGCTCTCCCTATCGCAGTCTAGTTTTCTTCTCTCTCTCTCTCTCTTTATCTCTTTCCCCTTTATCTCTCATACGCTCTCTCATGTGTTTGTCTGTCTGGCTGTCTCTTTCTCACAGGATGGAGCAAATGCAAAGGTGCCAATATTTTCCTCCACATCACACAGCAACACACAAACATACAAAAAAAAAAGGAATTTACCCGTGTTTGATCATTTGCTAAAAAGATAATCAGTGATCAAAGTCAGTGTCTCTCCTAGTCACTGTCCCTTTTTGTGCTCAATAAAGTTATTTTACTCAGGAGTTCTCACAGAACATTTTTCCCCAGTTGCTCTGCTTTTACTCGTCACCTTCAACTACAACTAAAGAGTTCATGCTTATCAAAAGTTTTGGCATGAAGCTAAAAAAAAAAGGAAAAAAAAAGAAAGGGAAAAAAAAATTCTTCTCTGTTCGGTGATGTCCTGCAGTTTTTCAGATGATTGCCTAAATCCAAAAGCTACTGCCTGAGTGTCTGATGCTGTCCCCATTCCCCTCCTCCTGCTGTGATCCCCCCCTCACCCTGCTACTCATGTGTGTTGCTGCACGGGAGCAGCTAGGAGCATGCATCTAAGCAGGTTGGCATAACATTAGAGAGAGCATGCTATTTGATATGGCGGTAATCTTCTGTTAAATCCCCCAAGAGTGAAACACAGCCGCCCGCAGCTTTGCACAGATTTCAAAAATGGTTTTCTTTTCTTCTTCTTTTTCTTCTTCTTTTTTCTGTACAAGTATACCCCTCTCTTAGATCAGCTCTGCATATGTGTGTGTGTGTGTGTGTGTGTGTATGTGGCATGTATGGGCGTGGAATTAATGAGACTTAATGTCACTGTCCCCCGTTTAAGGCGCCGGTTAAGCTAAGCACCCTAGTATAGGTTTATAGCAGAATAATGTGATTTAGTGTAGTGCAGATACCGAGGGCAGCGGTGTGTCATCAATGCTTAATGTGTGGTGAGTAAAACTCGAAGGTGGCTGATAATTCTCCGGGCTGAGCTGATTGGTTTCGTTTGTATGTAGATTAGTTTGGAGAAGCAACTCCTCCTAAGCTTTATTCCACTTTTGAACCACTGATAATGTATTCAAACGACTTTGTGGCCTTGCTACTAGGTACCACCGTCATTGTGTATTGTAAGTTTGTTTCTCTGTGCTGTAATTTTACCACCGCTACTTCTCCCAACACTGTGCAGACAACACTTATTTGAATGTCTAATTTTAGTTTATATTAATAAACTTGACTTAGTTAAGTGTAAAGTATTGTTTATAGCTTATTCACCTCCAAACGTACCAACAGCAAATTAATACTTTCATAAATGATAATAAGGAATGTTTTTAAAACTTTCGACTCAGTATGGGATTATCATATTTGCTCCACCAACTTGTTTTGCCTGATAAATGTGGTCATTCGTCAGACGTAAGTGAAACACTTCTGAGTGATTTACCTTACATAGCACGCGGAACGTTGGCATGACCTCACACAGTGAAATGAATGCCAACATGTAGCGTTTAGCAAAGTATGACGTGTTTTTTTTCTTTTTTGTTGTTGTTTCAGATTCCCTTGAAATCATTTAATGTACTGAAAACACACCACTGAGTGTTTGAACTGGGGCGGTAATTGTAACCCATTAACGTGAATGTGTGGTTGTTCTTTCAGAAATATAAGGAGTTTGAGCGGGCAGTGCGGGTGGAGGAGATTGATGGGCTGCGGCTGGTAAAGAGGCTCGCAGAGGACATGGAGGAGATGTTTCACAAGAAAGCCCAGGCGATGAAGGTACGTGTTTCTGTCACTGAATCCGCATCCAACACAATAAAGCAAAACTTCCCTTAGAATTGAGACAAAATACCTCAAAGTCTGAAAAAAAGTCTCGTACAAAGATGTATTTAAAAAATGCCAATTACTAATTAGTTGTAAAATGAAAACATGAAAAATGAAAACAAAAGAAATAGTTTCACTGGCACATCCATTCCCAAAGAGGCTGGAAATCAGAAAGTGAAGATGTGGGAGTTAGCTCGATTGAAATCACTTGGTAAAGTGTTTATTTCTGACCACTCTGCTGACCCTATTGGATGTCTGAAGAAGTGCTGTAGTGTCACATTGCCACAGTGAAACCAGACACATCCAGAGTGTGGTGTGTATATGTGTGAGAGAGATATGTGGGTGTCAGGAATGAGGTGACAGACACGGAGAGGCTGTGATCCACCCATCAGTGCCTGTGTCGCTTTATTGATCTGCTCAGACCAAACATCAGGACTCAGAAGATGCTGCTTTAGGAGAGACTAAAATCATACGATTTATATTTTTAATGTTTATGCATAGAAAATAGTGTATGTACTGTTGGTTGGTAATTGACAGCAACTACAGTAAGTACTGTGCTTGAATACAACTATTAGGTACTTAATACTTCCACTTTAATACGTTTCAGATGGGAATATTTTACTTCTCTTCATTTATTTGAGAACTAAAGTCACTACTTACCTCGCAGATTTAGATTTTACTAACATGAAGATATGATTGGCTTATTAATTATACATTGTAATATTCAATATAAGTAGAAGTAGCATTAAAATGCTACTAAAATATTAATGCATCAGACACACTGATCCAATAAGTGTATGATAAAATGAACTCTGAAAGAAGCCATTCTGCATAATTATTTGCATAATGGGGAAAGCTGTGTGAGCCTCAGCTACAGCTTTCATGATAACAAGTGGTTTTAACATGAATCTTTGAAACAGTTTTCTTTGAGTCTGATCAAAAGAAAACAAAGACGGTAGCCACCTGGCACAGCTGTTGTGGCAAACTGCATAGGGGCAACTTGCACACTGTTTGTTTACATGTGTGTCGCTGCAAGGATGAAATGGCGAGATACAGACCAGCGTTTCCAACGCTCCCCCTGTATGATAGAGATGAGTTGACTTAAACATGACTCTGAGATTCCTTAAGAGATGGGTTTCTTTCATGGCCAATTGAAAGGGCCAGTTATCTAACGCAATTGTTGCATTTTCTCTCAGCTACCATTGTAACTGTGGTGTAATTACATATTGTGATTTTATCTTACTGTACGGCGAGCTGACTGTTTGGTCCACCCACTCTCGGCCTCTTCTTCCAGTTGATTTTTCAAAACACCTTCTTCAGGACATTGTTGATACTTGTTGTAGCCACATCACTGGAATTACTCTCATCCGCGGACATCTGTTTTCTAAGTCTGGCATCAATATGTTCCGCTCTCTGCGGCGAGACTTTTCCTCCTCAGTCGGCTGAGGGGGAACACCGCCAGGTACGTTTCTGATCAGAGACAGAGAGGCAACAGTGAATTGACTCACAATCGTCGTAATAGTCAACACCCTCACGCATGTAAACAAACCGTCTTGCACGGATGAATGTGCAGGATGATCAGCTGGATCTAGATCCCTATGCAGTTAGCATAATAGCCACTCCAGGCAGCTACTTTTGTGTGTTTATGTGTTTAATTTTGGTCAGACTCAGAAACAAGCGTTTATAAAACCCATGTTTATTTGGAAAAGCTGCAGGAGGTTTGCGCTGCTTGTACCAATATAGAGTACATTGCTTTCCGTGAATCCTCATTTCCCTGAACGGAAATATCCCTTGACAACAATTTGTTATACATCTACATACTTTGTACTTTGTGTTTTTACTCATTGGCAACATTTTGCATGCAGGACAGATACAGGCGTATTTTTGTATTGTTGTTATTTCTAACTTTTCTTAAACGATATGATTGCTTCATTCACCGCTGTTGTCGGTACATGGGTACACGAACAGTGTGAGCGGTCTTATCCATATCTGTGTGTGAGCATGACTGCATGTCTGTGGATGTGCGTGCGTGTGTGTGTCAGTGTTGTAGCAGGTGCAGTTCAGGATGTGTCCACGGTGCACTGCCTCTCTGGCTGCTGCTCTAGCTCCAGGTGATAGATCCTATCAGGACAACATGGTGCTGTTCACAGAAATTGGATTTCTCTCTAAGAGTCTGGTCCAAGGATACAAGCTGGAAGGGGGGGTGGGTGGGGGTGAGAGGAACACAGATAGTGACAAACCATTTCCATGCTTTAGCTTTGCTTGTGCCGGTGGTATTATTCTTATGCATGATACCTTTGGCCAGTCGGATTGCATGACCATGCCTGTTTCACGGCCTTACGTTCACTTTGAAAACGTGCGCATTTCCACCCGACCACATGCGAAACATCCTTCACTGAGCAAGTACTTCACGCTAATATGAGTCATCAGGCATTTCAAAAAAAGAATCCCACTCTTATACAATGACTGTTGGCATGAAAAGCAAGGTTCTCATTGAATATTGTTACCAGCTGTTATTAACTCCTGTAACAGCAAATTGAGGACTTAATCAGTTTTCTAATAATAATGAACATTGCTTTGTAATTAAAACAACACTTCATGCTTCCCAAACGATTATTAACTGTATTTAATTTGCATAACTGTCACATAACTGTCATTTTATCAACCTGTTTTAACTGTCGTTCTTACTTGTTGACATGAGTAATTTTCATTGAGCAGGGAGATTAGATGTATTGAGTCTAGTAACACAGTTGTCTGTGTGTGTGTCATCTCCTCGAGAGTGCGTTAAACCCCTGGAGATTGGAGGGCTCAGTTCGCTAATGGCTTCTCTGAAACTGCCTGCCCGGATGCTGGATGCCTGATAATTCTAGGTCCCAGGGGGTTGTGTGCACTTCTGTGCGTGGAATAAAAGTTATGGGTGTTGATATGAAGATGAGAGAGAATCCTGGTCACTGGGGTGCCGGAGCGACGCTTTCATAAAGACAGATGAAAGTCGTGGGAGGAAGAGGAAGAATAAATGATAAAGGAAGGAAATTTGAAGAAAGTGGAGAAGTGGAAAAAATGGCCCCATGCACACGGCCATGGAGTATTTAAACCTTATCGGGTGCTATCATGATTCCAGTTCACCTCCAACCTTCCCGTTGTCAAAGCTGACATTTAGCCTTGTGATGAATCATCAGTCACGAAAACACAGTGACAATTTCCACGCATCCTCTCCCCTCATCTTCTCCATCTTTCTCCAGCTTCTCTGTGCTTTTATTACCAAAAACCCTGTTTCGTCTGGCCCGGTGAGCACTCCTACAGCTGTCCTTAAGCATCCCTCTCTCCTTTTTCTGCCTCTCCTCTTCCTACTCCCCCTCTTCCCATTTCTCTGCTTTTTGCTAAAGTATATGTGGCGCTTCAGCGATTCAATTTCCGTGCAGCCGCTCTCCCCTGTCCGTCAACATGGTTTTATCTACCCGTCTTCACATCGATTCCCCCTCTTTATCGCTCGCCGCCACCTGCTGAGAGACAGCAACCTCCACAGCTGTGAAAGGATGCACCTGTTAAAGTGTGTGTAGGGTTTCTGATGTCATTCTTTTTAAGTGTGTTTAGGTGAGCAAAGGTGTGTGCTTTCATCCTTTTGTGTTAAGATAATGCTTTTGATTTGGAGAAAGGACGATAGTAAAGAAACATAATTATAAACTTAATAGTATTTAAGCCTGCCGCAGGTTGTACGTTTGGTATTGTGTGTACGAAAGAGTGTATGTATGTGCGTGTAATTGCATTTAGAATTGGTAGTTTGATTGTGTTCACGTCTCTATGCTCTTTCTCTTATCGTCGCCACATTATTATGGCAAGCACGGCTTCCTCTCTGTCTGACACAAAATAAAACTTGGAGCAAGAGCAGTTTGTGTTTTTCAGTCACTTTACCAATTAAATTGCAACTCTGCCATAGATAAGATTAAAAAGGCCAATCACACAGTGTTTCAAAGTAAACATGTGCTTGCAAAGGACAGTGTGTGTGTGTGTGTGTGTGTGTGTGTGTGTGTGTGTGTGTGTGTCCTTGTGGGTAGTTTTGTATGTGTACTGTAAATCCATAGCGATGATTATGTTTATTCCTGGGCTCAGCATGCACGTTAGCTCACCATTGTTACTTTTTAATTACTATTACCTTCATCAGTTCCTGAGTCAGTGGGATATTATCATTGTTAAGCAGACAGCATCTCCTCTCCTCTCCTCTCCTCTCCTCTCCTCTCCTCTCTCCTCTCCTC